CAGTTTAGAACGTCAAAGTCATCATTTTCTTCAAATTCAACTTCATATGTTAAATACAAAGTAATCTCATTTATTCAACGTGAGTTGTTTAAGTTTTTTTCATAAGATTGCCAAATGCAGATTTAAAAATCGCTTTTCCTTTAGATGAAGATGTTCGGGTCGGGGAGGGGGAGTGTTGCCATATTGTGCACGAAACTCATTAAATAAGGCATAAAATAAAACACTAACCTCGTTGTATTCCGTTTTTGGATCTATGGGGTTATCGTCATACATTGCAAATTCACCAAAAAAAAACAAGATAATAGAACTTGAAACAATCTTCCAAATTAGCCAGTCTAAAACGAGGATCGAGAATAAATGCAATACCATAAATATGCGGAATATGTGCATAATATTTTAAAAAAAAATCCTTCATAAAATCACAAAAATAACAGCATTCTCAAATTCTCTAAAAGCACCAGCGAGATTAACAGCTTCACGAATAAATTGGTTTGCGGTAGGTTTATAAATGTGACTAAAAGTTTCAGTTACATTAAAAAAAAATCAAAACATAACAATTTTTTTCGCAAGTGTCGATCTCAGCCGAGTTTATAATATAGTTATCATGTTGTTTTAAAAAAGCGGGAAAATGTTCTTTATATCTAAGAACAACTTTAAGTAATTTATAAGTACTATTCCAACGAATACTCAAATCTTTAGGAAAAGCAACATATCTCACACCTCTTTCAGTCAAATAAGTTTGTCATTTTAATCTAAGTTGAAGTTGACCATTACCCCAAATACGTCTCACCCCCCCCCCCCCCCCGACTACCTCCATAGCATCCCCTAGCGCTTTTAGACCGTCTTGCACACATAAATTTATAACATGACATGCACAGCGTTGATGAAAAAATCTACCCATCAAAGTATTGACACCACACAATTCACGCAATCTAGGTATAGCAGCAGTATTATTAGTAGCATTATCGAAACCAATAGCAAACACCTTATCAATCAAATTATACTCAATTAAAATACGCTTAATCAAAATATAAATATGTTCAGCGGTGTGACGATCATTACATTCACAAAAAGCAAGAACACGTTTATACATATTCCAATCCTCACCAATAAAATGTGCAGTCAGACCGAAATAATTTAAATGATGAAAATCATCCTCCCATATGTCAGAACAAATAGTAACACGCCCATCAAAGTTTGCAAAAAAAAATTGTAACCTTGCCTTTTCCGCTTTATAAAGCCTTAGAATTTCTTTCTTAACAGTTTTGCGACTATAACCTCTAAATTGAGGATTTAAACTACCGCATGCATAATCTCTTAAAGCAAGACTTTCAGAAAGCATATAAGACAAATTTTCTTCAACAATTAAGTTAGCCATACCAGTCAAATTTTGTGCATCATTGTATGAGAAATTACCAAAAGGTTGAGAATTCGCAAACCTCGATATTTGAGTTTGCTTCCCCGTTCCGCTTCCTAATTTTGCATACTCCACGGGTTGCTTCGCCTTAAGATGCCTTGCGGCGGATCCGTATCCGCCGGAGGTCCCCAAGCTATAATTTTTGTTGCACCACTTGCAAGTTGCGTGCCAATACCCGGTTTGTGCGTCCTTCCACTTATCAAAATTATTTTTCATTAGTTCAGATTTACTTTTTTTATTAGCAGTGGCGGTTTGGGATGAGGCAGGCTCGTCGGCGTCGTGGCTGCCGCCACCCTCCTCCTCAGTCGTCCCCGGTTCCATTTCCTCCGCATCTTCATCCTCAAGCTCATCTTCGTCAATGGTCGTCGGGATTTGTTGTTGTTGGAGAAAGCGGTTATTATGTCGGGCCAATTCTTGTTGTAGTTGTTCTCGCATCTCCATCCCTCCTTTGGTAACACGTTTCAAAATCATCTTGGCTTTGAGATGAAGAGCCGGCAAGTTCTTTACCTTTGCGGGATTTCTTCCTCCCAATCTCGTTCCTTCGGTTGCGCTCGAGGTTACCCAAATCAATCGAATATCAACCACCTTCCATCCTAAAAATGTAACAAATATTAATTTGCCACAAATATAATACAGAGTAATGAATACAAAAGTAATGCAACTAATTAAAACCATTTTAATTAATACTTCAAACTAATTTAGTGCAAACTACTTTAATAAAATGTGAAGTACTTTAATTAAGTAGTGAATAAAAGTGTGACTCTAAAATACAAATTAAAATTCGAACTAATCAATAGTATTTTTTAATAAATACTTGAAACTAACAAGTGTGACGTTAACTAAAATGTGAGTAATTAAATTATAGCAACTTTTCAAGTACTTTAATTTAGTGAAAACTACTTTAATAAAATGCAAGTACTTTAATAAAATGCAAGTACTTTAATAAAATGACCGAACTACTCTTTTTTATTCAAATATAAATTCAAACTATTATAATGTGACTTTAACTATAATGACAATTAACTAGTTTTTTAAAGTAGAGTTGTTTTAGAAATTAATGGGAATACTAATTAACTAATTAACTAGTATAATGAAAAATGTAACAATTAGTGGGAATACTAATTAACTAATCAAGTAATGTTAATACAAAATGTAAGTAATAAGACAAATGTATGAATGTGTATAGTAATTAATGGGAGTAAATGAGTAAAAGAATGATTTTAAGTAATATTAATTAAAGTGTAACTAATATATAATATATTGTTTATAGTATATAATATATAAGTATACTACTATAAGATGAGTAATACAGTTATATTTAATACTTTAATACATAAAGTATATATTAAGTAGATGTAGAATGTATGTATTAAGTAGATAATAATTACGTAGAGATTAAGTAGATAAGAAATATAAGTTATATAGTATATGTATTTATAAGTAGATAATTAATATATAAGTAGATATAATAATTGTATATAAGAATTAAATAGTAAAGTATAATGGAGATTGGAGATTAAGAAAAAAAGTAGATAAGAAATATAAGTAGAGAAGTAGATATTATTATGTATTAAGTATATACTAATAGTTTAAAAGTATATTTAATACTTCAATATATAAAGTATATATTAAGTAGATGTAGTATGTATGTATGTATTACGTAGATATAAGTAGATAATAAGTAGAGATTAAGTAGATAAGAAATATAAGTAATATAGTATATCTATTTATTAGTAGATAATTAATATATAAGTAGATATAATAATTGTATAAGTATTAAATAGTAAAATAAAATATAATGGAGAATAAGAGAATTTGAGAAGATGAATATGGAGATAAGTAGAGAGTAGAGAGTAGGATTTAAGAAGAGTTGGAGAAGAGGTTTGAAAAATGTTTAAAATTAGGAGTATTTATAGGTTTATTTTTTTAATCCCCCAAGCCCCAGACCCCCTCTGGTACCCACCCAACGGCTATATAGCCGTTTGGGATGTGGGTCAAGAGCCAAACGACTCTTTAGAATTCAAAGGATTTTTTTTTTTTAATAATGGCCGTTAGGCTTGGACCCGGGCCCGATCCAACTGGGCCGGGTCGCCAAAACCAAGCCCGGACCCGCCCCCCACCGGTTCGGGCACCGAACTGGACCTGGGAACCGGGTCAGTTCCGAGCCCGCACAGTAGCGGGCCGGGCCGGTCCACGGACCGGGCGGCCCGAACCAGGTCCAAGACTAATAAGTGCGATGGCAAAAATTCTGCTTATTCAATCTTAAGAAAAAGTTAACACATAAAATATGAGAACTACAAAATCTATGTCGACTATATGAATATTAAATTGGAAAAGTGAGTGGGACGAAGGTTTGAAGCTAGAAGAGAAGAACCTATTTCTAAGTCTACAAGAACTCTTTTGGATTTCATACTTTTCAAGTTCTTAGAAATGTACAAAATTAGGATCTCTGTCATTCTATTAATGTCATTAGAATTTAGAATCATGATGCATATCATTCATAATTTCCAATTATTATGTATGTTTCATTTTTAGTTAAAGAACAATTATTATGCATGACTGCACGAGATTTATGTATATTCTAGAAAAATCGCATTTTAGTCCCTCAAATAGTCACCATATTGAAATGTCAAACCTATATTTCCAAGTTTATAAATGTCACCTCTCAATTGTCCAAATTGATGTAAATGTGGTCCTTTGAGGGTTGAAATACACTCATCGCCCACATTGTACATTTCACCCTCAAAGGACTACATTTACCATAATTTGGACAATTGAGGGATGACATTTGCAAACTTGGGAATACGAGTCTGACATTTCAATATTGTGACTATTTCAGGGACTAAAAGTGCGATTTTCCCTATTTCAGGGATATGTCATGCATTATTCATTTTTTTTGTAGTTTTTCAATTCTATTCATTTTTTGTAGTTAAAAACATCAACATACAATTCAAATTGTATTTTATGTTTGTCTAAATGTATGTATGAAAAATAATTCTTCCAAGAGATTAAATTTTAGTGTGCATTCGTTTAAGAGTTGATCATTTTTTACTACTTTGTATCTCATAACAATAACAAATCATTTCGTATTTTCATCATAAATATATAATAAAAACGTTGTTTTTAGTAACGACAAGATAATATGTTGTCGTCATATTTTAACATGAACATCGTTGTTATAACTTTTTAACGAGGGAATATATTACAACGAACCATTGTCGTTTTAGAGTATATTCTACTTCCTCTGACCCTATTTAAATTTTACACTCGTTTACATTCACATTAAGGAAATGACATTGTTTTTTATATTGTGTGACATTTTTTTGAGTTGTTTTATACTCCCTCCGTAACATAAAAATCTTCACATTTTCAAAATAGGTAGATTAATAATAGTGAAAGAGGATATAAATTGTTGATGGTATGATGAGAATATATTGAAATAGTGTGATGGAAGGAAGAATAAATTCAAAAAATGATGTAATAGTGTATTATTTTCAAAATTTTTGAGGGTGTGATGAAAAGATTTAGAAATGAAAAAAGAAAGTGAGAATTTTGTTTGTTTGTTGGCTCTCTTTTGGGATGTAAAAAAGGTGGTGATAAAGAATGATAAATTGAAAATATGAACTGATAAATAATCAGGTGAAAAAATGCATCTAATTTAAAACATGTTCGGTCAATAGGAGTGTACACAGTATTCACTACTTGGTTGGAACTTGATCAATAGAAGTTGGTGGGCCCCGCGGGAACTTTTGACAGTTTAGTCACTATGCATAGTGGAGGTTCCTTTTTTTCTCAGTTTTCTGCTGATGGACTCGGCAAAGTAATCCTTTTTCTCTGGGAGCGGAAAATGTATGCGGCGGTCATCGCCACCCTCGGGACGGTTGCAGCTGTAGCCAGGCTTGCAGAGCAGTTCGGATACCTTTACAAGGGAACACAAGCTGATCCAGAAACGACGAAGGTTGATCCAGTTGCAGATAAATTGTCAGCCCATATTCGGTAACGCTCTACTTTTTTGTTGGTCATTTAAATTTTGGATCGATAAATTGGTACTTTGGCTTAGTTTCTCTATCGTGGAGAGACGCTCGCAAAGAATTGGTGACCTATTTGTTTGGGCTGCTGTGTAGTAAGAGCACTTCTGATTCGATGCATGATCATATGACATTGAAGCAATTTATGTGTGTATGTTTATCACGACATCCTGCCTCCCGTAAATATTAATTTTAGATCCAACATGAAATTAACAGGAACTGACCTAATGACCTTTTTCGTCTCTAATTGCATTGAATTTTAACTTTCTTTGGGTTAACCTTTTTCGTTGTGTAACATGGAAAACCTCAAGCTTCTTGTTGAGTGGAATTCCGAGGTTTAATGGGAATGGATACGAGAAATGGAGGACTTTGATGAAATTTATGCTCAAGACCCTACACCTTTGGGACTTGGTGGAAAGAGGCTATACCGGGGAGGAGCTTATGGTTGACGCTTTGCAAGATGTTCAGCAAAAGGATGCCTTGGCCTTGCTTCTTATCCACAAAAAGATACACGAATCTGTTTCGCCTTGCATTGATAATGTCAAAACATCTAAAGAAGCTTGGGATGCACTGCAGAAGAAGTATGAAGGAAATGCAGCTGTTACCAAATCAAACCAAGCTAATGTGAAGGTATGAAATTGCTATGATTTTCAAAGTTTATGCATCATTGGCGTACTGGCGTAGCCATGGTATAAATTTTCTGGGCCAGTACAAAGATTTTTAAAGATAATCTTTTATGTAAAACTTTATACACATATATGGGGGTGTTTGGATCTGATTCTCAAAACTGATTCTGCTCCTTCAGGTAGCAGAAGCAGAAGCTGGAGTGTTTGGGTGAAATTCCAGAAGCACTTCTGGTGCTCTAATTTACTCTCAGAATCAGTTTTTTTAGAAGCGGGGTACCAACTTTTGAAAACTGATTCTGATTATGCTTCTGCTTTAAAAAAGAAGCAGAAGCAGAATCAGTTCCAAACACCCCCATATTCAAAGCTTTTCTCCAATTTGGGGTGGGTCAAGGCCTAGCATGCCCCTTAGCTATGCCCCAGGGCATAAGATTCAAAGTATGTTTAATCAACATGTTGAAATCTTTGATAGGTATTTCTCAAATATGATGCTGTTGTAAAATGAACAATAGAATACGGCGAAGTTTTGTTCAGAAAGGTGTGACTGAAACAATTCTTAGTAGTTGGTTTAAGAACTGAGTAAAGTGACTATTTTTTTAAGATCATTTTTGTGTGAATACTGTGACCACTTTTTGGCTAAAAATAGAATATCAGAGTACTTTAGAAAGTTAAGTTTTAATAAATTGCTTAAATGTACTTAATTGGCTGAGAGTAAATATGAATATTTATGGTAATAGTAACTTGCAGGCTGTGGAGACAAAAAGAACTAGCGAAGACTTCACAGATTTCAACAATAAACTTTTCTCCAATGGTCAGTGCAGTTCAGATTCCTCTGGTGGATGCAGAGTTGATAGTAAGACTAGTACTTCACATAGCAATTTGCGCCCATCTGAAGATGGAACTGGGAAAGAGCTTGAAGACCTTGACAAAGATAAATGTGGCTCTATAAAAAATTTTGGAGAAAATTCCCCTCATAGTCATCCTGGCGGCATAAATGGTGGACGACCTGACAACTACCAGGAAGGTCGAGGTGGCGGAGAAGGTGAATTTCATGGAGACGGAATTAGTGGGAGTGGTGGTCGTGGAGGTGTGGATAGCGAACGCTTTAAGAACAACCAGAGAGGTCATGGAGGAGAGGGCAGTGAACACTTTAATAACTACCAGGGAGGTCGTGAAGGGGAGATTCCCGGAGGTGTGGACAGTGGAACCAATAAAAACAACCAGGGCTTTCATGGAGATCGAGGTCGTGGGGGTGGTGTCCGTGGAGGTGGATTCCTCAGAGGTGGTGTCCGTGAAGGTGGATATCATAGAGGTGGTGTCCATGGAGGTGGTGGTCGTGGAGGTGCGGATGGTGAAACCCTGAAAAACAACAACAGGGGTCATGGATGTGGTGGTCGTGGAGGTGGTGGTCGGGGAGGTCGTGGTCGGGGAGGTCGTGGTCGGGGAGGTCGTGGTCGTGGAGGTCTTGGAGGTGGTTATTGGGGAGGTAGTGGTCGTGAAGCTGCAGGTCATGGACCTAAAGAGTGTAAACCTTTTAACAACCATGGAGGTTCTGGTGGCATAAAACATGAATGTTTTAACAATAAGGGAAGTAATGAAGGCATAGATGCTGAATGCTTTAGCGCCAAGAATGACTATGGAGGTGTGGATGGCAGACTCGTTAATGAAAACCACGGAGGTCATGCAATCTTAGAAGATGGATGCTTTAATAATCAACATTCTCAGTTTGGTGATTGTAATAGGAATACTTCAAAATCTGAATCACTTTATTCTTCCAAAAATGAAACTGAACCAACAGAAGCTCTTGGTGCACTAGGAAGGGGACACCAAACTAATACTAAGGTATACATAGAAATTTGAAGTTATGCACTCACTTCTGTCCCAATCTAAAGTTCATAGTAGGAATGACACTAGTTAGAAACTGAAATCGTGTGGTTGAGATTCTTTTAGAAAATGGAAAGAAATAGTGCCAGCTACACAATTCTTTTTTTTAAATGGAAGTGAAGTATATTACTAGACAACCATAAAAGGAAATAGATAAATTTATATTGGGATGAAAGGTTACTTGAAATCATGCAATGTACGGCAGCCATTGAAAAATGCTTATCTATTGTGATGGACTTGGATAAGAAATGGCTTTTATTTTTGCTTTGGTTAGATCCCAAGTATAAGTGTCCAAAGTGTTAATCAATTACCTCAGGCTATGAAACTAATGAAAGTATCTTGCTAAATATATACGGAATGAGGTATTGAGGGAAGTGCAAAGAAACTACTACTACCACTATTAGTATTATTATTATTATTGTTGTTGTTGTTGTTGTTGTTAATATTATTTCTGATCTAGTTCTTTTGGTAGGATTTAAACGACATGGAAAATGTTGATATGAATCAGTCCCATGTAGACCTCACTGAGAAAAAAAGTGGTCATATTAGCATTTGCATACAGAATTTGGACAAGGGCATTAGCAACGATGCACTCCATGATGTTTTTTCTGCATTTGGCAAAATCCTTTCTTGCAAGGTGGTAACAGATGGATCTGGTGTGTCAATGGGGCACGGATATATTGAATATGGCAATGTCGAAGCTGCACAGAAAGCTGTTGAGATGATGAATGGTGCAAGATTGGAGCACAAGAACGTGCAAGTAAAATCTTGCCCCACAAAGCAAGAAAAGAAAAAACATAGCCCCACTAATGTCTTTGTGGGAAACTTATCTGAATCCACATCTGAAGGTGATCTTAGGAATGCTTTTCATTGGTTTGGGGGAACGATCTCTAGCGTTATAATAGTGAGAGACAGAGATGGGATATCAAAGGGTTACGGATTTGTCCACTTTAGGGATGCAGATGATGCGGCTTGGGCAGTGGAAGTGCTCAATGGCCACAAGTTTGATGACAAAGTGTGGCAGGTGAGAAAAGCATATGAAAACAAATTTGTTGGGAAAGCTAACAAGAAGAAATCTGAGGGTGAGTCGGCTCAGTCTTCCTCTGCAAATAACAGTGGTATTAAATCAAACAAAAAACTGCATAAATTTGGTCGTTCTACCAAAGCTAATTCATCCACTTCAAAAGAAGAAGCTGGTAATGCAGTTCGAAGTGAACTAAGAGCTATTGGTATAAGGGTTATCATCTACATTGACAATAAAGGGGTTGGGCACTTCACCTTTGAAGGGCCATGATTTCGTAGCAGGAACAAGGAATCATCCTCATTTAGATATATCCACAAGGATAACATCTGAAGTGGCATCTTCTCATACTATTTAAGAATGTATGCTGTGATGATGGGTGTCCCTGAGCACACCTACTATTTGGGATCTATTCTTTTACTTGGATTGTTAAACAAGTATTTACCTCAAATGACCCATAAATTGTGCAGCTTTTATGGGTTTCGTCTTTGACTTTTATTTTACTTAATTACTAGTTTTGTACCCGGGCGTTGCCCCGGGTAAAACTTCCATATGAAATCTTAATTTATAAATTATATAATGTTTCTATATGAGTTTTGTAACTCCAAGTGGCAAGTGTTTATCAATAGTATAATAACAATGAACATAGAATATATAAGACCTCAAAATGACCAAGAGACATAAAATATTTGAAAGACTATGTTTTTAGATTTTAGAAAATGTCTTTGTAGATACCATTATGGTCCTGGTGTAAAATTTTCGATCTTTAGAATGAATTACTCCGTAATATTTTTAATCCATTTTTGCTCTTTGTCCTTGGTAGGACAACACAAAACTGTCCGCCTGGCAATGCATGAAGACATTTTTCTTGAGATCAGTTCTTAGAGAATTCTTCTTCAATGGCCAATGTACATACATATTTATTGATGGCGGAAAATTGCTTATTTGAACCTTACATAACTACGCTGTTTGATTTTTTTATAGCCCCTAGTCACTATTGATAAAAATCTCGTGCAAATTGAAGAGTTGTTCAAGGAAGATGGACAATGGGCATATGAACTTGAAATATTAAAATATGTTATTCATTTTGAAAAATCCAATTGTATAATTTAACTTCATTTTATTTGATCAAGTTGTATACATGTGTGATATATAGATGTAATATATTTGTCCCTCCTATATTTTTATTACTCTTGATGGAATATATTCACATATACCCCAGGGGTCAAGATAATAATGAACGTATCTCCGCAGTTGAGTAAGGAAATATCAACAGGCTGAGGCCGAGCTCGTTAGCCAAGGCAAGGCCTAGGTCAAACCTGGTTATGATATTAATGAAAGAATTCCAAAACTGCAGGCGAAGCCGAGCCCTTAACCAAGGTTGGGGTGAGGTTGTACTTGGTTTTTAAGATAGCAAGAGAACCCCAAAACTGCAGTCGAGAAGAGAAAGGTTTGTGGCTTAGAGCGGAGCTTCATCCGAGGCATACACTCACCAAGGTAGTTGGTAGGCAATTTCTTATATTTATTTGGGAGATACTCTTGTGTAACAATATTGTGTACAATTAGAATATTTTACTTGATCGAAATTTTGTGGTCTGGTTTATTTCAGTCCAATTTTTTATGAACTGGTCTGATCTTTATGTATTTTACAATTGCATAAATCTAGTCTGGTCTGTTAAAGTCTGGTCTTGTCTGGTTTAGGACTAAAATGAGTCCAAGTAAAAACATTCTTACAATACGTAAGTTATACTTCTTTCATTTTAAGATGTGTTCAATCTTCCCAATAGCTCCATGAAGCAAGGGCTCCAGTACAATTATTTCTACATGATTTTGTTCAATCCGACATATATACTATGTATATTCTGTTACATTTCAATCAGACTTAGAATGTTTTTACTTGGACTTATATCAGTCCCAGACCAGTTCAGACCTGACCTGACCAGATCAGACCAGAATTTGACAACACATTTAGAATTCAACCATAGACCGATCTATGTCGTTTATGAACAAAATGAATCCCCCCTTTTATAAGAGGGGGTGTTGGTGTTCATATACGGAGTATTTGTTTTTTAACTTGTGAGCTTTTGAGTGTGTTGCAATTTTGTTATCTTTAGGTATATCACTTTTGAATATACTCTCCATCATCCATTTCTATAGTGCTATCATCCCCCATTAAAATGATTGGTGCTTGATGAGACAAAATGAGCTATATATATAACTCCATGTGAGTCTTACTGAACTCCACAAATCTACTTCATTAGAATACGCTACTATGGGCTCGAGGCCGGAGATTTTTAATGAAAATAAATATGTCTTTTTTGAATTGTTTATTTTGTGTGAATGAATACCTATTTTATTGTGCGTTGATGTCCGGGTTGGTTTAACACATAAATTATTACTCCGTATTTTATACTTGTACTCTAATCCTCAAATCCAGATTGGAACGTCAATTGTCTACAGACATAAAACATGGTCTTATCTGTTAAGTTCTTTGTTTGATGGTCCAAGAAATTTTTATGTTCTAGGTTTGATTTCTACAATCATCATAATTTCATTATATGTTCATCTAAGTCCTATTTTATTTTATGTTCTAAGCTTGACACTATTGATCTTGACATGTAACGTTAAGTATTTAATTAGGCCTTTTGGCCTCAATAAAACTAAAAAGAATACAAAACACAAAAATGTGATTTGCTATTTTACAAAAATGTTACCAATATCACAATGTGACAAAGTGATCCCGGCAATAGTGACTCCGATGCACTGACTCTTGTGTAGTGACTCCGACACAGTGACTACGATACAGTGACTCTGGCGCAGAGCCTTCCGACCACCGTGACCACCGCCTTCCAGCAGAAAGTCAATGACCACCTCCATCCAACCTATGGCCACCGCCTTTCCTCCGGTGACCACACTCCCTAGCACCACCCCTTGTCAGCCTCCACAGTCCACACCACTGTTACTGCCCGGACCACTCACTAACCCACCGCACCACCATACTGCCCCATTCTCACACCCTGTCACTGCACCACTCACACTCCACCTCCCTCCTCACCCAACATCGCCGTCTTACTACCCTCAAATCTAACCATAGTCACCGTCGCCCAACGTCGACCCACTATCAAGTCCTAACTCTAGCTGCCATCTCCATTATTAGACACCATAAACTCATCTGACGCCGCCACTGCCTCGCCACCACCCCGCCTCCAACATATCTTCATCACCACCAACATCCATCATTAAGGAATCGATGAAGAAGATGATCAATTTGTAGATCTAAAATTTGGACCATGATTTTAATTGCAACGGGTCAACATTTCATGTTTGCCAACACACAAGTTTGACCATTAATATCTTTCATTCCTTATTAGTAAAAATTTAAAAAATTCATATTTTGAAATTTTAGAATGAGTAGAATTTAACAATATTTTTTGAAAATCTAATTTATAATACTTTAATATTAATAAAATAGTCAAAGTAGAATATATGAATAGTGCAAAAAGTCCAATGTTGCAATTATAGAGAACGGAGGTAGTATAATATTATGAAAGTTATAAATTTTATATTTTTACAAAAGTAATTTTAACAAAGAATATTTTATATCGATCATTTTTATATTATAAATAAAAATGAAAAGACGATTTGATAGTTTTATGTATATATCATACATAATACTACCTCCGTCCCAATTTTTTTTACCATTTCATAAAATTTGGGCCATGATTTTGATTAGTATAATAATATGAAAGTTATAAATTTTATATTTTTATGAAAGTACTTTTAACAAAGAACATTTTTATATCATTTTTATATAATAAATAATATCCAATAAAAAGATATACCTGGTCAATGTTTTAAAAATGACAAAGATTTTTGGGGCGGAGGTAGGATATATTAGTGGATTTCCCATCTTTGTATAGTTTAGAATTTAAATGTGTACATGAATTTAAGGGTCCGTTTAGTAACACTGAAATTGGCTGAATCGGTTTAATTTGTTGAAATTTATGAAGTTAGGGTTGAAGTGGCTGAATTGACTAACTTTGCTAAGCTATGGAAAAATATATTGATATTTTGTTTTATTAATAAATTTAAGAAAAAATTACATGTAAATAGGTTGTATGGTACTCTACAACAACTTGAGCCAATTTAGTCAGAAAAGTAATTTCAGACTTAACTAAATTCTACGTGCAAAGTAAAAAAAAATGCACGTTTCATAAAAGTTCGCTAATAAGGTTAATAAGCTAAATATATATTGTAGGAGTTACTAAACAGGGTTTAAAAGATTGATCTTAGTCCTCTTACTTAGAAACTTACCCTTTTGACTTTTAAAATTAACTGATGCACCTAACCTTAAGGTAGTGAATGTTTAGTTCAAAATTCGAGTATATTGTAGCTGAAATTGTTAGCATTCTTTGAGAAATCTAGAGGGGTTCTCTTAACGTATGCATGCATGCATGCGTTATTGTATTAGCAATTACTTGCCATGTATTGGGTAGATAATTACCGCATGTGTATATTTAATGTACAATATTCTTTCCTTTGTTATTCTCTCATAGAATATTCGTAGGAGTATAATTAGCTATCACTATTATGGCAGTTTCCATGTATATCTGTGTGTCCGTTGTAAACTCCTTGTATATAAGGCCCTCTGGCCGTATCAATAGAGGCAAGGTTTTCAGCCAATTTGGTATCAGAGACCATTCTCTTCTTCTACGCCATGACTTCCCCTTCTCCGGCCAAATTTCACCCGGCCTTGGCCGTCTCCAACATCCGAAATTTCATTCCTATTACTCTTGATATTGAGACCGTCGAGTACTCATCTTGGGCTGAGCTGTTCAAAATTACAGCTCGTGCCTATGAGGTACTTGATCATATCCTCCCGACGGCTGCCTCGTCCACATCTTCCACCACTGCATCATCATCTACTCTCACGCCCGAGCAGCGCATCGCACAGGAGGCTGCCGCCGCCGAGGCAAAAGCTCTCTGGAATCGCCTAGATGCCATTGTTTTACAATGGATCTATGGAACTATTACCACTGATTTGCTCCATACCATTATCGAGCCCAACTCCACGGCTCAATTGGCATGGGAGCATCTCGCGGAAATTTTTCAGGACAATAAACAATCCCGGGCCGTGTATTTGGAAAACCAGTTCTCAAATATCCGCCTTGAACAATTTCCCAATGTTTCTGCCTATTGCAAAGCATTGAAAATCATCTCTGATCAATTGGCCAATGTCGATTCCCCTGTTGATAACAAACGACTTGTTCTCCGTTTAGTCAATGGCTTGACTGAGCAGTATGAGTATGACATGGTTGCTTCCCTCATTCAGCAAGCAGATCCGCTCCCCTTATTTTCTAAGGCTCGGTCCATGCTTACACTTGAAGAGGCCCGGAAGAATCAACAAAATGGTCAGTCCCAGGCTACTGCTATGCTCCACCATGCGCCGCCGCCGCCGCCGGGTCCACCGCGTCCCAACGAAACCCCTGCACCCTCTCGATCGGACGGTCGGAATACTCGTACCCGCGGTCGTGGTGGATCTGCCCGTGGTGGTCGTTCTCGTCATGTGAGAGGGCTAGGCTAAGCACTGTGCGGATGGTAG